TTATCTTATTATCCCAGAACTATCAAAAATGAATGTAATCTAAAACACAGCAGATTCATTTTATCTTGTATAAATAAAGTGTTGTATAAATACAACAGCTATTAGTGAAAGGTCTTTATAGTCTTGACAGGAGACTGAAATTCTCAGAAGTTCTGCCGTATCCCTGCATTTGCTTCTTCATCTTTCCTCTATACTATGCATGAAGTCTAGAGTGTAAAATCTTGAGAAGTAGAATCTCAGCTGGTTAGGAGGGTTATTGAGGGAAAATAAATGAGTGCTGAGTCTTGCCCCTCTTCCCCCGCCCATTATACTTACTAACAAGACAAGGAAGAACCAATGGAAAAGTCAAGAACTGGTATTTTAGGAAATATGTGTGGGATAGTCTTCATATATTAACAGAGTCTGATTTCCTCCATAAATTCAAGGGAATTATCTCTACAAGCCCTTGTCCCTAAATACACATGCCAAATTGGCCTCTAATAAGGGTATACCCACTATTCTTGACAGCCTTAATTGGCACTGTGCTAGCGTTTTGATGTAGATGAGTTATTCCTCACAATTCTCAAGGAACCACTAAAGTCAGCTTATAAGCCACATTGCTGAGACTCGCACTTGGGATCTATTTGACCCCCAAAGACCTCTGCTATAGAGTTCTCCAAAATACCGGAATATAGAGAAAAATGCATTGGTTATCAACAGCAACGCCTGTCTTGAAAGTATAGGAGATAAGCAAAACTTTGTTTATATCTTAATTACTATTATTATGATTTGTCTGTGTCAGAGATATAAAGTATCCTAATGTGTGGCTAGCATTCAGTTTTGTTTTCTGGAATTTCTGTAGCAAATTTCAGATCAAGGCCTAATATGCATGATGTGTGCCTCACGAGTGAAGTTAGGCCTGATAGCAATGTATATGAACTCCTTATGAGGAATTATTTCCTTCACCCTTGATAGAGCATAGAGAATTTGTAACCAAAACCACAGAGAACTAAGAAAGCAGTAACTATTCATAAACCAGTCCATGAATATTCATTCTAATCACTATGTACTAATCAATTAGTATACACAGTAAGAACAAAATGAAATCTGAGTCTACAGATTGCAGAACTGAATACATCATCATTTTTAAATGACATAACTAAAGATAATACATTTTCCTTTCTGGATGAAAATTCATTTTATGTTCCCTAGTGGACTACATACACAGAAGGCAAAAATTGGACCTAAGTGTCCATTCCTACATATACATATACATATCCTACATACTCACATAATTGCATATTCATTGCTTTGTTTGCTTAAGACTGAAAAACAAATAAAATTGTGAGTTTGCCAAATTGCCTGTTTTAAACAATGTGGCGGGCCTTTAAAAAATACACAATAATGCATTCATCCAATACGAATAGAAAAATAATGAATTTTCTGGTTATTTCCTAAGTTTATCTTTCATACTACCAAGTGGTATCTATCATGTGTTTTGGTAGTTTGAATTACAAGTCGATGTTTCAACTAATTGTGGCCAAAACCAAAATGTCAACCAGGATGGAAAGCTTCTAAAAACAAACTAAACTGAAACTACCAAAAATGTAAAACAGAATAACCAAAGTAACACTAATTTAAAATGATCACTGATGAAACATATTTTATAGTCAACGTCAGACCTTTGCCATATTTTTTTTCAGAACTGTTTTAAATTATTCACTTCACTCATTTAAATTTATGATATCTTTAACGAAAGAACACATAAAAATAATGGCGGTGGCGTGAACAAAACTTAGATGCAATGCTCAACAAACTGCACGTGCGCATATATACACGTGTGTGCACGTGCATGCAGGCACACACGCAGATCCTCCTCCAGACCTAAAATGGCTGAGTTGCAGGATGTTGTTGCTTGGCGACCAAACAGTATCTCCTCAGCCACAGAGTAATCTAAACAGTGATAGATATGCCCCCCTCAGCTTTGGGCATGGCCAGGACAAATATTAAAGGGCATGTTTATCTTTCTAGTATCCTACATTTTCATTTGAAGTCTGTTGTCACTTGCTTGATTCTGTCATCAATTAAATTTAGATTTTAGGGGAAAGAGTATTTGCAAAGCTACAGCTATTCGTTTAAGAAAAGAGGTAGAACCAAGCTTCTTTCAGACTGAAAGCTAGTCCTGTTTCTATTAAGTCTATGTGCTGTGTCTACTCTGTTCTGGTACGACCTCCCAGTTGCGATCAGTCTCCCTTTCTTTCATTAAACACAAGCAGTTAATTAGCCCCAGCCTGTCCTCTTCCCTTCTGTCTGTCCCTTTTCAAGGTAGTAATGATGTCTAATTACCAGCAGCAGTGGGTTACTGCAACATCAGGCGCAAATCTCTCTCGCTGACAGCAAAGCTAGCCGCAAACCCTCAAACCTCAAACAGCTAGAATGATTCTTCCGTCTACTTGAAAATACCAAAAACAGTACTTTATTTCAGCCAAGATATGCCTTTGACTTTAAAATATATACATATTTTTTTTTGTCTTTCTGGTGATTGTACTCCCGCTACTACAAGGAAAAACTCATTCTTAAGGAAGAAATAATTTGAGATGCGGAGAAACACATGATAAAAGGGGAACCTTTTATTTATTTTTTAACTTGTTGAAATGATGATTGGCTGTCTTTCAGGGAAGGCGGAGCCTATAATTCTATGAGAGGAGCAGCATAAAATTTTCATAAAGAGCAACAGAAGAGTTCATGAATTAAAAACCTCTTCAACATTTCAAAACAGGCTTGAATGAAGAGCAAAGCCCTTAAATACTACTACATGGAAACCACTATCTAAGAATATCACCTGATGAATTACATTTTCTCCCATAAATACATGAAATCTTTACTGAAAAGAGAAATATGTGTTACTTTAGTATTCACCCTGAAGTTGTTTTTCTGATAGATGTCTTAGCAATAATTCTTTATCAACTCTGCAAAAATTTTTGAATGAAAATATCGGTATCTGAACATGTGAATTCTGATTTGAATTACTGGCATCCATATTTATCTTACTGACTCTACAGCCATTACACAATTTATGTTATTTACAATTTTTTGTTAATGTTTTAAAAGGGCACATCTGTTTATACATATAGTGGATATACCCAAAGTATAAACTGGACCAATTCATACAGGGTGGAAACTATCTGACAGGTAAATGCAGGAACCTGACTTTAATGTAAAAGGAATGAAAAACAAACCTCCCAGCTAGCAATTGTTATGAAAAACATATAGAATATTATTAAATATTTAGGTAAATATACTTTAAATTATTATTTTATTTATTCAATTAGCCCAGTGTTCCCCTAAAGGAGAATACATTCTTATGTTTTGAATTCTCATTTACTTTGTCTAACAATAAGTTATTTTTAAGAATCAGGTTAAGTTACTCCTGATACAAATGAATCAAAGCACTTAATTCTCTACAACAGACTTCTGCTCATCCAGATGTAAATACACCTCAGTTCTAATCCAGACCCAGCTAGTTCTCATTATTTAGTAAAGCAAGACAGTAATCTCACCATTGTCTTTAGCCATGCCACGTTCAAAGAGAAGGCTGTGTTTGTAGATCTACCTCCCAGAAAATTCCAACAACAGTACTTTTTGGAAAAAAAAAAACAGAACTTTTATGTGTGTTTCTGTTTCACCTTTATTTCCGTTTCCCGTTTTCCACATACATTCCAAAACAAACACACTTCCTTCAAACTACCCCTAACGAATCTCAGAAAACCACTAACTGGTTTTCCAAACCTAAAAGAGCGCTCCAAATAATCCTCTGAAAAACCTTCCATGCACAGATTTCCAATTGCATATACCTCCGTTTGAGACAGAAGAATAGCTTGCAAGACATCTCCTTTCTAGCATCCTCCAGGAACACTGCACGGGAAAGGGCTGCCAGTATGGGGGGTGGGGGGCGGGTGGAACAGGAGCAAATGCTCAAGAAACCCCAAAGCCAGGCAAAAATGCAAAGGATGCCAGATACCCTCCCCCACCCCTACTCCAGGCGAGTACCCACCGTTCCATGACGGAGAAAGAGGTCTTATGGATCTGATCTGCAATCCTACTTGTAGCCCACAGTTCCCATCTTCTTAAAAAGGCAATCGACGCTGCTGCCGCTCGCCAGCCTCAGAGCCTTCTGCCCTGTACACCAGGCTCTCAGTGCCCAGCACCTTGCTGCGCCTGGGCTTAGAGCTTTGTGGCCCTGAGACTAGAGCTATCCCAGAATAAGGAGCAAACACATGTACCATTTGATTGCGCCCAAACCCATGTCTCTTTGTTGTTCATCATGCAGCGGCGGCTTTATTTGTGAAAGGGGGAAGTGAGGAAGGGAATGGGGGGCGGGGAGGAGGAATCTCCCGGACCTCATCCACAATCTAAACAGTCGTGGCAAGATCTCTGGGAGTGCTCAAGGCGATCCGATAGCCCAGCGTCTCCCGGGCGGCGGTCTAACAATAAAACCGGATAGTGTCGGGGGGCGGGGGAGGGGGGAACCCCACATCTCTGACCAGCGCCACAATCGGGCTTTGTGCCAGTTAGGAGACACTGTAGACGATCGACCAGAATCGTCTATTATCAGAGCGTGCGTCTGGGGTTCCAGCGTGGCCTTTATGCTTGGTGGCAAAAGCTGGACACGCGCCAGGCGCCCAGCGAAGGACACGGGACAATGGCCCGACCCGAGGACGCTGGAGGCCGCCCGACCCGGGGATGGAAGCTCCAGGAGCGGGTTCAGGAGCCTGGGAGGCGAGGAGGGCGGCGAGCTCTGGTGGTGCGCTGCCGCTTTAAAATAAAGGACCACAAAGACTCCACCGTGGGGGAAACGCGCCTGGCTCATGCGAGTGGGGACGACTTGGGGAGGGGGGTTGAGAAAGGTGGGGGGCACACGAGCCAACGGTGGCTCACAGCTCCCCCTTTCTCCCCCCTCTCTCTCCCCTCCCCGCCGGCTGCTCCCGCAGACAAATAACAGAGGAAGGGGAGTCACTCACCGTGGTCTTGACCGGCACGTAAAGCACTTGCTTGGCACAGCCGCCGCCCCCGCGGACCTCGTCCGGCTGGCCCAGCTGGAAGCCCTTCGATTTGACCCAGAATTTAAATTTGGCGTTGTCCGTGGAGCTCGACTCGGAGCCGTTGAGGAGCTGGACGATCCGCTCGTATTTCTTACGGGTCACCGTCTTGGTCTTGCCTGAGTCCCCGTAAGTCCTGAGGCACCAGTCCTGGAACTGGCGGTACATGTCGCGCTCGCTCTCCATGTTCCCGGCTCCCGGCCGCTGGCTGGATGCTCCCAGCGCACTTCGCACCTGTTCACCCCGGGCTCATGAGAAATGCGGCCCCGGCCACGATGTAGGCACGCGAGGTCCCGGCAGCCGCCGGAGCCTGCCTCGGGTGGGGGGAGGAACGGGGAGAGGGGAGGAGGGTCCGGTTGGGCACCAGCAATCAATGCCCCGTGCTACCAAGTCTCTGGTTCATTCGTAATTGCAACGGATGTCTCGGACGCTGGTCTCGGACGCTTTTCTCGTCCTCTTAGTGATGGGTCTCTTTAATATTGTGTGATTAGGACCATCCCAACAGCATGTGGCCCAGAGGAGCTGGGTTTTAAATAATTAAAATCCCATTCCTTGGTTTATTAAAAATCCCAATATTGACTTGGGGTGGTCCCTGGACGCTTCACCCCGGGGCTGTGTCCGGGGCAAGGCAGGTGGAGCGCCGCGCCGCCTCCCAGCGCGCGCCCCAGAAGCTTCCCCGGCCGCTGGCCCCACCGTGCAGGAGCGAGGGCTGAGCTTCTCTCGAAAGCAGCCGCCCGGCCGAGCGCCTGTGAGCCCCGAAGGGCACCCGGGTCCCCGGGCTCTCCTTCCTCCAGGGTCCCGTTACGCTTCGACCTTCCCTGCGTGGGGCGTTAAGGGACTAGAAAGAGAGAAAGTTCTTACCTGTCATGTTGTTAAGCCTATCAAATCCTGCTACACAGGAAATCATTAAGGTATTTTTTTTTAATGGTTTAAAATGTCATTTCTTCATATGCATTTAGGCTAAATTCCAATCCCGCAGGTAGGTTCCAGGAGTTAGGTCCCAGAATTAACAGAACATTCGTGGATATTTGGCCATAGTTCTATAGGAAAGGCTGTGATACCCCAAACAGATAGCCGCTCCAGGGGGATGTGGGTAAACGAAGGCAGGCCGCGGGCGGCGGGTCTCCCGGATAATGACGGGGTCCCCAGACAGGACTCCTCTGGTTTCTGCTGGACTGGGTACAAGGCATAGAAGTAAGTTTATAATACAGATGCTTAAAACCCTTTGCATGAAATTAAAATATACAGAGAAATTATTTTCCCCTTGCTTGGTTACAGTTTGCAGTTCACACAGGAGGTTTCGTATGTCTAATTTCCCCCTGCCACGTCATGGACACCCCTCCACTGCTCAGAGTAGCCAAATACGAGTTCCTCTGGACGATTTTCTCAAGCAAATGAAATCGGCGGCTTCTCCATTCAGGATTTCCACCCGTTGGTTACAGAGCTGGAAACAGGGGAGTTCCCATCCTCCTCGCGCTGCGTGCGATTGCGGCCGCTCCTCTTTATTCTACTCTCTGCGGAGGCCCGCGCCCGTCCCGGGAGGCGCCTCTGCCCGGAAGGCGGCCCGACCAGTGCCCCGCGCCTGGTCCGCGTCCTAGCCCACCTTCGCCCCTCGTCGTCGTCTCCCAGACGAAAGCCCCGAATGGGAACGCTGAGTGTTTGTACCCACTGCGCCGCAGCTGGTCCCGGCACTTGCAAAATGGTCAGTGGCTCCTGCTCGGCCAGGCTGAGTGCGTGCGTGTGTGTGAGCAAGGGAGCGAGGGTGTGCGGTGTGCGGAGGGGGGTGGGGAGGGTGCGCTGTGTGTGCGCGCGTCTCCGGGAAGGTCTCGCGGCGGCTGGAGCCGGGACTGACAGCCCGGGCGGAGCGCGAGCAGCTCCACACACTAAACCTCTCGCCTCTCCCCTCACCCCTACCCCTCCCACTCTCCTCCCACCCCCCCCCCCCTCCCGGTGGCTCCTTCCTTCCCAAGTTTCTTGATTGGCCAATAATGGACAAAAGTTTGCAGGAGGCACGGCTATGCCGATCGCCTGGCAGAATTGTCCCATTTAGGGATCCCGGGGGCAGTGCGCATGCTGCAGGCTGCAGGTTAGAGGCAGGAGGAGGTAGCAGCGGGCGCGGCGGCAGCCAGGTGGCGGAAAGGAGCACTCAGCATCCAGGTGGGGGGGAGCCCACTCCAGCAGGGGTTTCCATGGATTCCTGGGTCTAGCCTGAAACAAGCAGATCAGCTTAGACAACACAGTCAGGACCCAGCTCACTGCTTATTGGAGCAACAAATGAGGGAGAGGGCCAGCTGCAAAGGAAGAGAAGCTTGCCCCCCCCCCCCCCCCCGGCCCCATCTCCTCCTTTCTCCCCTCGCAGTCGCTCTTGAGTCCCGGGTGAATTCTCATTAACTTGCAAGATTCCTGCAACAACAGCTACCCTTCTCCAGAGGCTACCCTGACTGCTTTTATTCTTTTTATTTCTTTATTTTGTATTTTTAAAAATGCTAAAACAAATCCGTTGTCCTGAGTCCTTGAATTTTTGTCCAGTAAATATTAGACCAGTAGAGCTCAGAGTCCACTAATACAAGTGACAGGTGGATCTAATATGGGGGGGAGGGGGTGGCAGGAAGGAAAAAACACTTTAAATTAAGTATTTAGGCCTTTCACATTAAAAAAATTTTTTTTAGTATCTTAAATAGATATGTGGACTAAGCAATCAGAAGCATATTTTGAATCACTCTCATAAGCGATATACCTCACAGGAACACTATTAAAAGTTTATCTAGTGGCATCAGAGATAGAGGGTAATTCCAAGTTGGGAGATCTAGATTGCGTTGTATGTTAGTGAAATGTTTCCTAGAAGATTCTGGAAGTATAGTTGACCCTGGGGTGGTCATTCATTCAAGAGTAAGCTGGTTCTATAGAGTTCGCTTTTTCTTATGGTTAAAACTTAATTCACAATTTCAGAATTCTTTTTTTTTTTTAATTTTTTTTTCCAACGTTTTTATTTATTTTTGGGACAGAGAGAGACAGAGCATGAACGGGGGAGGGTCAGAGATAGAGGGAGACACAGAATCTGAAACAGGCTCCAGGCTCCGAGCCATCAGCCCAGAGCCTGACGCGGGGCTCGAACTCACGGACCGCGAGATCGTGACCTGGCTGAAGTCGGACGCTTAACCGACTGCGCCACCCAGGCGCCCCTCAGAATTCTTTTTAGTAGCTCTTTCATCTGAAAAAGTCACCTCTTCTCCTCTAAGCCTCATTCAAGTACTTTTGGAACTATAAAGCCTTCTTCTTTCCTTGGCTACTCAATTTAAAACAGTCTGTCTCTCTACGCTCCTCTGCAGAAGTGTCTTTCAAACATTTTTTTAACCTTGTCTCATAGTAAGGCACATACGTTACACTTCATACAGCTGTCCTCCAAAAATGTTATGAAAAAATATATTTTACTGCATGGAATACACACTGATATCTACCCCATTTTCTCCTATTATTATTATTATCATTAGTATTACTACTACTATTACTACTCTTTGGTAATAGTAGTAACTCAATAAACGGTCCTAACCCAATAAATTTATAAAGCAGCAAAGGATGCCTGGCAACCTATAGTGTGGAAAACCTTGTTTTAGATCATATGAGCTATACCACTCCTTATACAACATAGTTTCACATGAGTATGTTTGTTCAAATAGAATCTTGATTGGAAGACCCTTGAGAGTTTAGATTTTCTTGTGTTCTGAGTAACTCCACCACAATGAACAATGCACATAGTAAATGCTTAATAAATATATACTGAGTTAATAAAGGAAAGGGAAAGAGGAAAGGAAGAAATAAGCAGGAAGCACAATCCTTAGCCATTCCTGTTGGCTTTTGCTGCGTAGTGTTTGGTTCCCGCTTAATGAGATACCAAGGTCTTACGATGCACTGCGTTCATTATATTTATGATTGTACTTAGCATTCTAATGTATGGAAAATAAAACACTATAGATATAAAGAACTCACAGTATACAAGCAAATATGTCACCAACCCCCAGCTGTGTTAGCTAGATTTGTTATAAAAGCAAAAAAAAAAAAAAAAGAAAGAAAGAAAAAAACACACAAAGATTAAACAATTATAGAAGGTGCATTTTTTTAGAAGGAAAAAGTAAATTACTATGGAAAGAATATTCACACTGGGCTTCCTAGGACTTTTAGGGCCAAGCTTCTCAGAGCCATGAATATTCTCATGCCTCCAGCAAAAACTAAAGTGTGCTCTGTTCTATACTTATACTCTTTATTAATTGTACGATCTAAATCAACTTTTTTTTTTTTTACCATATCTTTCCTACTTAAGGGCACACGCACCTGAAAAATCTAAAATGCGCTTCAGTGACTCACTCTAGACTCATTTCTCTCCTTTTTGCTTTTCTAGAACCAAGTCTTCCTAGCTCCACCTGGAGGGTCATATTGACCCTTTCTTTCAGCTATATGATTCATCTGACAGGCTGCTTGGAATTTAATTTGGCATTTCCCCAAGATACATTATTCAGATTTGCCTCTCTACAGAGCATATCTCTCCAAAAAGAGACTTTTCACCCCCATATCTGAACACCAGTTCCTAATCCCTGCTCAGGGTCCTGTCTGCTATTTATAGGGAGAGAAAATCAGAAAGCATTTTATCAGAAAATAATATTTTCATTAAAGATAGTCCAAATTATCCAAATTTTGACCTACGATAAACATGATTTTGTTATGAAAGAAAAATTTCTTCCAACTTCAGGGTCAGTTTGTGTATGACATTTTTAAAAATATGGATCTGGGGGCGCCTGGGTGGCGCAGTCGGTTAAGCGTCCGACTTCAACCAGGTCACGATCTCACGGTCCGTGAGTTCGAGCCCCGCGTCGGGCTCTGGGCTGATGGCTCAGAGCCTGGAGCCTGTTTCCAATTCTGTGTCTCCCTCTCTCTCTGCCCCTCGCCCGTTCATGCTCTGTCTCTCTCTGTCCCAAAAATAAATAAACGTTGAAAAAAAAAATTAAAAAAAAAAAATATGGATCTGCCCCTCCCTTCTCCTGCTCTCGCTCTCTCTCTCTCTCTCAAAATAAATAAATAAACCTAAAAAAAAACAACAACAGAGAACCTGGGTGGCTCAGTTAAGTGTCCGACTTCAGCTCAGATCATGGTCTCACTGTTCTGAGTTGGAGAGCCCGCTTCATTTCCTCTGC